GCTTACCGGGATGCGGTCTGCACCGACGTGGGCGTCGGGACGGGCACCAGCGTGACGGAGGTGCTGACGACGGGGACCGCGGTGGACCGCACCTGCCCATTCGTGATGAACGTGGAAAAAGAGAGCGTCGTGAAGATGCTCGTGCTGGGCGACAGCGTCTCTGAATTCGACACATGCACGTTCTCCCTGGCCGTTGCGAGCTGAATTAGATTTCGCAGACCGACGTGTCCAGGAGAGACTCACCCGAAGGTAGACGCGGTAGACGAGCTGGGCGAGGGAGTCAGTGGTGGGATGGTGGTGCTTGTGCCAGTGAATTGGCTGCATGATCATTAAGGGGAGAATATACCGATATCGCAAAATGCTCACCTCTCCGGTGGGAGTTCGCTTTGCGCGCTCTGTCCAGCTGTCACAGTCGGGCTGGCAGGTGGAGAAGGTATACTAGTTCCGCTGGATGGGGGTGACCCGGCCGAGGTTATTGGGACGAGGATTATAGTAGTGGTGCTGGGGAATATATGCGTGTCGCTTATTCCTATGCCGGACCCCGCGCCACCAGCTTCCGTCGTTGTGGTGGGGATAGAGGAGAATATCCCGACAACAGTGGTGGTTATTGGGTATGCGCTCGCAAATGTAAGCCCGCCAGCCTGAGGCACGGGAAGAGGAGTGATTGCTGGGAAATCGCTGGCTAGTACAAGCCCACTAGCGGACGAAGCAGACGTGTCGTTTGTGTCATTGACTCCCCTGACGTCCGTCACGCCAGGAGCTATTGACCTGGTCCAGGATGAAGACCCCGAAATCGCTTGTAAAGGGCTCGCCGATACAAGCCCGGAAGCCGACGCCAACGCTTCGCTTGTGCGATTGAGGTCGTCTGAACTGAGACGCTCCACAATGGGCAAGCAGACAGCCAGTTGGATCAACGTCGCGAAGAACAAGAAAATAGGAAGAAGTGCTCTAGTAGGAACAGATTAAAGTTGGACACGAAGAAGTTGGACGACTCACTCGGTCATTATATTATTTTATATTGCTTTACAATGCACGAAGCCAACCGAAGGGCGTCCGCCGTAAGGGACCTGGAGATGAACACAACTCGAAAGGCCCAGCTTTCAGATACAGGGATATAGGCTATAGTGCACCGCCCGACTGAGACAGGCACATATGTAGTAGGGGTGCGTTGATTCCGTCTCCATCTACCACGGCCGAATGTCCTACGGCAGAAGCTGTGAGGATCTTTGCAACTTCGATGAGTGGGAAGTTCGTTGAACGCTTGAGATCGCTGCGCGCAGCCGCGTATATGAAACCATCATCGCATCATCCGAAAGCATCTAAATGATCATCTTATCACGCTGATGTACACTTTGTGAGAAAGCCTCACAGTTGAGATCCTGGTACCTGCATGCGTAATTGGACGAGGGAACACTCTGATAATGTATTTTGAAGCAGCTATAGAAGTATCTCAGATCAACACCGTCGGCCTTGAGGCGTCTGCCGACCGCCTCATGGTGCGTGGAAATGCAATTCATCTTCGTCGAGTGGGGGCCGTGTGGTATTGCTGTCCAATCGACACGGTGCTGGGGGCGGCTGTCGATCCTTCGACGGGAGACTGAGGGACGACATAAGGGGCCGAAAAAGTGAGGCGGCTGAAGGTGCGACCTCCGGAGAGACTTGGTGTAGTGGGCGACATCTCTAGGCGCAGATCGAGCTTCGGCCGACTTTCTGCAGCAGTGGCGTCCCGTCGAGCGGCCGCTATTCGTCGGCGCCGACGGAGAAACAGATATGGGAGAACCAACGCAATGATGAACACGAGGCCACCGGCAGCCGCAGCAATCGGAAGAATGGGAAGGGATGATCTAGACGGTATATTGGATGAATTGATACTACCAACCCGGGAGTAAGACTTACTTGGGAGTTGGAGCTGGGGTGTTTGAAGGAGTGTATGAGACCGGAGTGTTTGAAGGAATGTACGAGACTGGCAGGCTCGGACTTGTGAAGGTTTCTGTGACTGTGATAGGTATTACTGTGGACTCTTCCTGCCCGTTCGATACAGTGAAGGAGGTGGACACAGTCGTGAGGAGGGACACCGATTCGATCGATGTGACACTGGGTAGTTCCAGCGTGCTGGGGTGGTTCAGCGCAGGTACGCGATACGCACAAAGCAACGCACCTCCCCGGGAGATATGTTGAGCTGTCTTGTCTATCGAAATCAACGGGTGAGATTGGGAGAGGTGAAGAAGGAGAAACCAACCGTCTAACAGGCCCGTCGCTGGCCGAAACGGTGTTCTGAAACTGAAGGAATACGATAAGAGCAGTTACGAGGGACCTGGAGGGATATTCACTTGAGAACCATACCCCAGTGACTGAGACTGACCTCGGGGAGGCCATGGAAATGCAACGCGTACACCCAGAAAATACAGAAACCTGAGCTCAACACGCGATGCGTCTTTATGGCAGAATCGTAGCTGACGCGCATGTGCGCCGCCCATGGTATAATTGGGCTAGAAGCATCAGGCCTGCGCAGCACCTGAGATGGGGTGAGCTGAGCCTCGCGTGCGAACGAAACTCCAGGAATTCGGAGGCTAGACTAGCAGTGCACATCATCGCAGTTTGCATACATCAGTTTTCAATGGTAACGGTGACTCAGGATAGCCTCGAACGGACAAGACTCGGAAGGAGGTCCAAGGAAAGACCTTGAACAAGGTTGAGACGGAGGTTTGTTACTGAGTGCAGGTCCCATGAAGTCACTCTCGCGTTGACAAGTTTCTCACGTTCGGTTGACACTAAATTTATGCACACGATTGTTCTCTAGACACGCCTCGTTAAGAAGTACCACATATGATAACGTGGATAGTAAGAAGTACAATAGGGTACAATCCGAGGTAAAAATAATAACGGTGTCGCGAGTTGATATGTGGAAGGAATGTCGGGATTCGGGACCTTGGAAAAGAAACTTGAAGGATCGATAGGCAGCTAGGAAACAGAAGAACCAGTCAAAGATGTAGATTCTTGCATGAAGAAGTCAAGGACGCTTGGGGGCTGAATTCGAGTTTCGCTTGAGGAAGAGAATGACGAGACGGAGGCTTAGGGACGGTCCAGCCAGGGGGGGAGACAGAAAAGAGTCGGAACGAATGTCGATCAGACGGAAGATCGTCTGAAAAGACGCGTCAGCACACATGCGGACTTACAACGGACTGAGGTACATACCGCCGTTGAGATCCTTGGGGAACAGCGGGCTCCGGGGTGGTATGGGAGGGAGGTTGTCGGGGAGGAGGTACCGGTCCGGACTGTGGATCCCGTCCGAAGAACGAGCCTTACGCTAGCGGAGAACGTCAGAGTAGTGAAGTTTGGAGAGGATCCGCACATACCTTGAGGACGAAGGGCTTCCCGAGGAGCTGGGGGTCTTCGGTAGCTGGCCCTCCCCAGAAGGGGCTCGGGTCCGTAGGGGTCGGCGCCATCGTGTCAGGTGCATACGACTAGGGGGAGTGTAAGTGTGTGTGATTTGCGGAGACTGAAAGCCATACCTGGAAATGTACTTTGGATGGAACGGGCGTCGAATTAATGCTGTCGCCCTCTTCGTTCTCGTCTTGCCTTTCGTCCTCGTCTTGCCCTTCGTCTTTGTCTTGCGGTTCGCCCTCGTCTTGCGGTTCGCCCTCGTATTGGTATTCGTCCTCGTATGCTTCGGTGGGCGGGGACCAGCTCGTAGATGCAGAGGGCAACGGAGAAGTGAGCACATGGGAAAGCAAGTTATTGGCCATTTGCAAGGCTTCGGACTTGATCACCTTGGCGGGCTGGCACACAGATTGGAGCTTCTGCCAGCGCTCCAGAATCCGGAGTTCTACGGCGGTCAGACAGTGATGGCTGGAGAAATAGCGGGAACAAACCTCCGGCATAATTGTCGGGGTGACTCAGTTTTGCTTTCTTGGCCCGAGTCGTGGTCCGGCTAGGTTGGGTATTGAGGAAGTGGAAACACAGACGGGGATTCAGCCTCACAAATCGTTATAAGCCGTCATTGCCGTCCGAATAAGCGGTTCAAAAATCATCTTCACCCATTCAAGGACCTTGTCAAGGCCTTTGGTTTCATCCCACAAGCCCCCGAGGAAGATATTGAAAGCGCCGGTGCCACTGTCTCCCGGGCTGATGATGCGATCGAGCTTGAGTTTCTTTAGGATCTCAAAAAGAACTTCCTCGCATAATAGACAGCTTTCCAGTGTCTTCAAATCAATGTGAGCGAGAGGCACTGCAGAATGAACGGATGATATTTACGGAATAGTACCCCGGTGAGCAGCCGAATTCGAGCCCACCGCATATCTCCAGAAAGGTAAGAAAGAGGGAATATCGGATTGAGAATCGTCCTTTGAGGCGGAAACCCTCCCGAATGTGGTCCACGGGCGAACGCATGCCGCTCCAAGTTGCGGGTAACACTGACGGCTGAGGAACGTTGTACCTCGGATCGGATATTTTGGCAGTGACAGCCTTGGTAACGGATTGCTCGCGCGTTGACATCCTAGGCGGGTGTCGCTGGAGGTGTCGCGGGCGTGGTGAGGTTGTGGTGGGCGGAAGAGAGCGAGACAGGTGTCACGCTCGCGTGACATCACGTATTACGTCCGCGCCATCGCGCCGAGTGCACCCGCTCCCGTGTTTGATATCCCCGTCTGAGGCACAGATCAGAAATATCGAGCCTAAAGCAGTAACTAGCTTTTTTGCTGTTAGTTTGCTGCACGCAGATCGAGCTTGGAAGCCCGGCCAATGCAATATTTTGTAGGCAGGAATTTACGGCCACCACTGACTGCTGACCCGAAGACGGCGACAGTCCAGCATCCAACAAAACCTGTACAAGTATAAGCATTTGCACGCCGTGAATCTCTCGAGCCCGCCGATCCAAGCTGCCGCCACCGCATTGGATTTATAAGCCACAATTTCACAGCCACAACATCCTTCCTCTCCCTCTCTGGCACTTTAAAAAACCCGAGGCTACCTCATCTATCAACCCGCCCAGCATATGTTTCCGTGCCTCCTTAGTCTAGCGGTTAACATCACCACTCTTAATGGGAGACGTCCTATGAGGTGGTCTAGGGTTCGAATCCCTGAGGAGGCACCCGGGCTGTAGCGAGCTGGGCCGTTCGAATTTATTCGCAACCTCACTTCTGGATGTGAGGCAGGTCTGTGGTCAAGAATGACAACACGCGCCGCCGGGGTACATCAGAAACTCTCGAGCTCGAGATTCTGCAAGTAGAGTTCGCTTCAGCAGTCGGCGAGATCCTCGCCCCATCAGGCATATTTTTTGGCATTTCGTTTCACCTTTTTCTTCTTCTTTCTTAATTTCTGTATGTGTGATTTCGCACCAAAGATATAAAGGTAAAGAGACAGGATATCTAATCACAACCACTCATCTTACTACTTCTTCAGCCATGTAGGATGAACAAGTGACTTTCCACACCAGCTCAATAGCAACTTCCATAATTTCTGGCGCCGCCCGGCCATATTTCAGAGCAGATCGGTCATTATTGAATCGCCCCATGATGATTACTTCAAGTCAAATGATAATACATACGGGTGGCCGGTTTTACTTTTGTAAATAAATAAAGGCATCACCACTGTGAAAGAGGAAAATTAGGTACCGCGAGCCTGAAAGCTACGCAAGACATACCGGATGACACTCGCCGCCGTCCCATGTCCAGATGCGCTTCGCGTCCCCGATGACCATCTTCGCGAACTGCATTCCGTTCCCCGCCTCGATATTCTTTATCCACCACATCACCGCCCAGTGCCGCGTGATATACTTGTACCACACGTAGTACTTCCACTCGTAGCTATTGATCACGCGCGGGTTGAGGTAGATGCGCTGCATGTCGAACTGCCGGCGGAGGTCGTACGGCAGGTTGAACGACTCGGATGAGAAGCACTCCTTGTCGCCCGAGCGACGGAATTTGATAGGCGGCGTGAGAGCAGGCGTGAGTGAGGCGGACTGTGGGTATGCGGGGTGCGTCTCGGGGAGCGGGCGGGGCAGCGGGGACGTGGAAAGGCCCCCCGGCCTGCGAAGGGAGATGGGGAGCATAGGATCTGCGCGGAAAGCGACGATACCATTCCAGCAGGTGAAGACGGGCGCGGGCTCGTCTTCCATGACGGCCTCCATGCCGGCGTCCTCCAAGAAGTATGGCCAGAGAGATGATACGAGGCGGCCCAAACGGTCGCGCACGACCCATGCGTCATAAAGTCTATGAATTGGTCTATCAGCCTCTAAAGACAGAATCGCGAAGAAGAACTCACCCCCATCTCGCTAGATCCAGACCACAAACCATGTCCCAGTCTCCATCCTTCGTCTTCAAGAGCTCTACGACGGATTCCGCTTCTATTAACACGTCGTTGCTAAACAAGACCAAGTCGTAACCGCCGCGCTCTACGAGCGGTGCTAGTGCCAGATTGCGTGTTGCGGAAAGAAACTCGATTCGGGGGTTTCCAGTGGACATGTCTTTCGGGCGTCTCAACATCCGTGGCTTGAGTGACGATGATGCATCCACGCACCTGCTGGCCGTGGTATTGTATCGTCACGGGTACGGATGAGATGGGCTACGCCCATCTTATCTAGTGTACCCTTCCATTCGTCCAGCATTTCAGCCGTACCGTCCCAGCTGTTCGACTCGACGATGGAAATGAACACATTTTTCTGCCAGCCAATGGGCTTGAGAAAAACAGCGAAACCACAAAGAAATGTGCTTACGGTGCCAAGGTAGTGAATGACCTTGGTAAACTCCTTAATCCAGTACGGAAGGATGGCTACGTTGTTGTTAAACATGACGGCGATGAAGACCTTGGCTGCCATATTTGATTAGTTAAGGCCGATTGATTTAAGCTATTCGTCTTACTTCCGTTATGATAGCCACCTTCTTTTGGTAGCTGAAGGGCGGTTTCTACATCTGCCCTGTACCGATGGTCGCCGGGAAATTCGTATGTCTTGAACATGTATAGCCCGCTGAGTGCCATGGACACGAAAAGAATAAAGCAGCATATCCGCAGATAATTGCGTCCCAGAAACCCGGGACGTAACCGGTGCGCCCGTGTACGGTGTATCGGGCCATCTAAATGAACATCGTGCATCGGGATAGCAATGGTGTAGTCCCCGCTACGGCCTTGTCCCCTCATAAGCCGCCTAGATAAGTACTTAAGCGATGGCCATAGCAAGATGCCACAGGACATGGATAAACCCCAGGTTGGGAGGGTCGCCAAAACTATAACGAATCTCGTCCGCGCAATAGGCCATGAGGGCAGGAACAGTCCAGACGTATACTCCCGCGACCAATAATCATAAAAGTAGTGGTAAATGAACCAGAAGAGGAATATCGGCAGCGTTATGAAGGCGGTCCGGAAGGCGAAGGACAGAGTGAACGACAGTAGCCAGAAAATCGGAGATGCAATACGGCTGATGGCTGGTTGTTTGCTCGCAGCAATTAGCCAGGCAACAGGTTGAGCTGCGCCGCCCCGTGCGCCAGCAGTGCTCATGTGTCGCCACCCATCCGGCATTAAGAACGAGGGGACGAAGTAGAAACAAGCGAGAAAGCGAGGCGAAAAGTAATAGAAGCTAAAACGAGGATGACAAAGCACCAGCCGTCTTCCTGCCATAACATCCAAAATGCTCTTTGCTGCAGGGTCTAATGCACACGGCCAGCTGTCTAATGGATCTATGGACGATTCACATTTATTTTCGCCCTGTAGTTTTGCTGGTTGCTTGCCAGGGGCTCTCCCCACTGGCCGAACACTTCTCCACCTTGCCTTTGGTGCCAACCATACGCTAGCGCTCCTCGAAAGCATCGAGGGTGGCAAAGTGGATAGAGAATTATGGGGATGCGGGGATGGCAAATCAGGGCAGCTTGGACCTTCGTTCGACAAAGTTGAGAGCACCTCAATTTTCAGGCCTCTCGATCTTTCGTTGGATCGCAATGGGCTGCCTGGATACCTCCCGCGATTAGTTTGTGCTTCCTGGGAAACGACCCATGTCGTGTTTTCGTGCCCGGACATCCCAGATATCTTGATCGCAATGGGCGGGAACGATTTTGGAGACTTGGGAATTGGAGCGAAGCGGGCGGGGAAATTACCTGCGAAAGACTTCCACATCGTTAGATTCGACCATCTCTATGCTGGCGGCGTGTCCGTGGACAGCCGCTCCCTTCGTGTGAAGTCACTAGGCTCTGGTCAACACCATGTCGTCGCGAAACTGACGACTGTCTCCGGAGACTTGGTCGTCGGATGGGGCACCTCTCGACATGGTCAGTTGGGGAACGTCGATAGGCCGTTCCTTTCGTCTCCAGAAATCGTTTTGCCAGACGGATCCGACGACGCAGTTGTATATGCTGCTCTGGGTCACCAGCACACCGTATTTCTGCACTCCTCCGGAACTGTATCTGGCCTCGGTTCCAACAAAAAGCGCCAACTGGAGGGTATCGACGTCCCTGAGCTTGCACGGAGCGTAGACTGTACCTGGAACGGGACGTACATTACCACTGGCAATGAAGAAACCTGGGACGTATTGTCTACAGGGAACAATGCAAGCGGTCAGCTCGGCCGGGACGACGGCGTTCTTGGTCCCGTCCAGTTTCCGTTTACTTCCACAACCCGTGCGCTGCTGCAAATAGCATGTGGAAGCGAGCACGTTCTTGCCTCCTTCACGGTTCGCCCTTCTTCCACAGCTGAAGTCTGGGGATGGGGATGGAACGAGCATGGGAATTTGGGCATTGGCACGACGGAGGATGTGCGTATCCCAGTTAAAATATGGCCTCCAGATTCATCTCAAGCTCCGAGTGGGCATGTCAGGATCTGGGCTGGGGTCGGGACCAGTTGGATCGTCATACAGTAATTAGCAAGTCGCACAAGTCAATACAGCTAATTCGAAATACAGCAGCAACAGGTTTCTCATCGTCCTCGTCAGTCGCCATCCCGCAAGTCGAGGTCATCGTGGATTTGCCTGATAGTGGTTTCTTTCAGTGTCGCAAGCTGATTCGCGCGTCAATAAACGGCAGAATTGTAAGGCGCATGCTCACTTTCCCGATAAGAATCTAGAAAATGGACGTCAGCAAAGGACGTGGAAGAGCGGTGCTCCTTGACCTGCGTCGCATCTTTTGCCTCGTTGTATCGATGGAGGAATTTTATGTGCTTCTTGGTGATTGCCTCTGCGTCTTCATTCTCCCTGAAGAAGAATCTGACTTGCAGCGACGGTGGAGTAGTTGCCAACCGTACCCGAGTTCTTTTTGCAGGCTGTCGACCTCGGCTTGTAGCTCAGTTTTGCGGGCTTTTTTGCTTCTGAAATTGGGATTAGTGGGGTTTTTGTCAAAAGAGAACCGCTTTTCGCAAATACTTGGGCTGAGATAGGTGCATGCATGAGTGCAGGAAGAGAGATGAAAGAGAGCGCAGAAGTCGAGACGCTCCATTACATATTCGAAGCTCCGTCTGTATTCTTACATAGTCATCGATATACACTCCTAGTCTCGACCTCGTTCATAATGAACCGCCTACACCTTGCAGAGAATCTCGCCGTGTAAAAGAGCAAACCAAGCATCCGGCTGCGAACCCCATGTCTTCCACGCCTGCGACATACTGTCCAAAGCCTCCTGCGTTGCGAACCCACGCTCTAAGACAACCGAGGCAAACTCGGACGAGAGGACACGGTCCGCCCAGGTCGAGCTCCACCAGGCCACCTCTTCCGGGGTGCTGAAGCACCAAGTGCTAGCAGACGCAGTGATTCGGTCTCTCGGGAGCCCAGCTTGAAGGGCCCAAGACAGCAGGCGGCGTCCGGCATTGGGTTCCCCTCCATTGAAGGGCGCGACCTTCTGTTGATATATCGTGCGCCAGGACGAAATTCCGTCGTTTTCGGGGTACCAGGTCATGGTTGAGGAGTCCGTATCGCGAACAGCCACGAACCCGCCCGGTTTCGCTACGCGGACCATCTCGCGCAAGGCGAGGACTGGGTCGGACACATGCTGCAGGACTTGGTGCGCGTGGACGACGTCGAAGGAATTGTCGGGAAAGCTGAGAGACAGGGCATCCCCGAGCGCATATGTTACGTTCTTGATGCCCTGCGCGGCTGCTGCATCTCGCGCCTTTTGG